GTCTCAATTTGATTGCTGTCAACTTCACCTGGTCTACTCAACCATGGAGCATCATCCAGTGAGAAATCTCCAGCACAAAACTTTGCAAACCACATTCGATCAATCACAGCACCTTCTCCATACACTGCACAAATTGTTTTTTGTGTTTCAGTTGCATTTTTACCTTTCTTGAAATATGAAGCCTAACATGCTGAAAATACTGCATGTTTTCTTCCATCTTCAATACTAAAATGGGCCATCATAACCAAATCAAAAAACAACAAGTGCTGGCAATATTGTGGAGAAAAGGGAACCCTACTACACTATTGGTGAGAATGCAGACTTGTGCAACCATTGTGGAAAACAGTATTGAATTTTCTCAGAAAACTAAAAATGGAACTGCCTTTTGACCTGGCAATTCCACTGCTGGAATTATACCCTAACAATCCTGAAATGCCAATTCAAAAGAACCTGTGTACCCCAGTGTTCATAGCAGCACAATTTTACAATAGTCAAGTGCTGGAAGCAACCTAAGTGCCCATCAGTAAATGAATGGATTGAAAAACTATGGTACATTTATATGATGGAATACTATGCAGCAGAAAGAAAGAGCTCCTATCCTTTGCGACAGCATGGATGGAACTGGAGAGTATTATGCTAAGTGAAATAAGCCAGGCAGTAAAGACAAATATCATATAATCCCACCTATAAGTGGAACCTAAAAAAAAAAAATTTAAATGGCTACACAAAAATTCACCACTTTTGATAAGTGTTTTTTTAATGCATGCTGATATGACAATACAATCTGACAAAATTGCTTTGAATGAAGTTAAAGACAACTAAGTGCTACTGGAGCCTTCTTATGGAAAAACACAAACGAACTTTTTGGCCAACCCCATACTGTAACTGTGGTCCACATCACCATCATTTCCTACCTGGATCTCTGCAATTGCTTCCTAACTGATCTGCTTGTTTCCACTCTGACCCCCATTAAGGGGCCAAGACTAGTTTTTGTTTGTTTGGTTTTGGTTTTGCATATGTGTGTTTAATGTAATTTTTATATTATAACACCCCAATTTTATATTATAACACCCTCAATTAAAATCCAGTTAAATATATAAATAAAACTTCTAATTAAACACCAGAGGTTTCCACAAGTTTGGAGAGTAAAATCCAGGTTTCCTTCCATGGCAAACAAGCCCATGGAAGATCTGGCTCCTGCTTTCTCCAATTTCATTTCATACTAATCTCCCCACAATCACTTTCCAGAGCCACTCTGATCTTATTTCTGTGCCTCATCCACAGCAAGCTTGTTCCCCTGCCTCTGACTGTGCATGCACCATTTTCTCTGACAGGTGACTTCTTCCTGAGTCTTTCCTTGGCCTACACTAATCTCAGCTCAGACGTCACCTCCTAGAAACACCTTCACTGACCACCTTCTCCCCTCCCCAGACTTTCTCCTTCTTTAGCCTATGTTCTCTGAATTTGTTATTTATTTCTTTGTCTTCTCTCTCTCTGTTCCAAAATCTTGGTTTCATGAGAGCCAAACCCACTGTCTCTTCTCCACTCTGTCCTAAGCCCCTGGCACATAGAAACTGTGTGACAGATATATAGATATAGCTTCACCCAAGGACATTTTTTAAAACATTGCTCTTAAAGAAAGAGGAAGGGAGGAAGAAAAACATCGATGTGAAATCGTAAGTGTCCAGGACCAGGGATCAAATCTGTAACCTTTCAGTTACGGGAGAATGCTTCAATCAACTGAGTCACACCATCCAGGGCAAAACTGTTTAATACATATTTGTGGAATGAATGACTGAATAAAAGGTGTCTCAGCTGAGTTGGGATGGATGGAAAAGACTCAGCCAGTCTGAGAATGGTGGAAAGGTAAGAATAGCATGAACAAAGACACAGAAGCAAGAATTGGCATGAGATATGCAGGGAACTATAAGTGGCTCAGTGTTACTACACAGTTGAATGTCAGCAGACGGTGGTGGTAGATGAGGCTGGTGATAAAGGACAGGAATTAGCTCACAGAGGCTATTGTAAGCCATAACCTTGGACTTGATGGTTAAGAGAGAGGAACACTGTTAGATTTCTATTTAGATTTGTGTTTCTAACACATTTTTAATGAACACCCAGAAAAAAAATATATTTTATATTATCTGTAAATTGAGATTCATCCCCAGACTTTAGAAGCCACCATATTCCTCGGCTCATGGTCCCCTTTCTCTATCTTCAAGATGGCAGAGACAGGTCTAGTCCTTTATGTATCACAGCTCTCTGCCTTCCTTCCTTACCCACTTTTACGGATTCATGTGATTAGATCGGGCCCATTTGGATAATCCAGGATAATTTTCCCATCTCAAGGTCCTTAATTTTAATCACATCTCCAAAGTCTCTTTGTCATGTAATATATTCATGGGTTCTGAGGATTAGGGATTAGGGCATAGATGTCTTACATGGGCTATTTTTCTGCCTACCACAGAGATGTTTAGGGAGTTTTCTTTACAGGTCATATTTCTTCCTTCTCCTCTCAGTCCCTCCCTCACTCTCTCCTCGCTTTCTTTTCTTCTTCCTTTTTTTTTTAAGATTTTATTTTTTTAGACAGAGGGGAAGGGAGGGAAAAAGACAGGGAGAGAAACATCAATATGTGGTTGCCTCTCACATGCCCCCTACTGGGGACCTGGCTTGCAACCCAGGCATGTGCCCTGCCTGGGAATTGAACCAGCAACCTTTTGGTTTGCAGGCTGGCACTCAATCCACTGAGCCACACCAGCCAGGGCTCTCCAAGCTTCCTTTGAATAACCATTTATTGAATATCCTTTCCCAATGCTAAGTGTTGGCATACAGTAGTGAGCAAGAGAGTCAATATTTCTGCCCTCATGGTGGCTTAATTTTAGCACAAAGATAGATTGCAAACAAGTAATCAAGTAAATAAACAAGGTAGTTACAGGTTGTACCATGAAGGCAATAAATAAGGCAATGGGTAGAAAGTAGCTAGCTGAACAAGATGACTTTGTCTAGGTGATCAGGGAGGGGCTCTCTGAGGAAGTGACACATGATATGAGGTCAGAAGAGTGTGAGTTAGCCAGCCACTGAGAACTGGGGAAGAGAATTCTAGCAGAGGAAATGGAAAGTGCAGGGTGCCAACCCCCCTACCCCGTTCCAGGGAAGGAAAGGGCAAGTCTTGTTTAACAAATAGTCTGAAGGCCAGTGTGAGTGGAGTAGAGTGAGCAGGGCAGAAATGCAAAGTGAATGATGGTGGTAAGAGGGCAGAGGTGAGACCATGCATTGGCAGAGAGATCGTGCGTGGTAAGGACTTTGGATTTTATTCTAACTGCAATGGGGACCCATTTAAGGGTTTTAAATAGTGGTGGTGTGAGGAGGTTTTTATGTTTTTATCTGATTTATGTTTCTATAAGGTAGTCAGCTATGTGAAAATAGCTTAGAAAGGGGCAAAGGTGGATTGGAGAGATACTTTAAGGGGCTACTTTAGTCACCTACAGGAGAGATGACTGTTTGGGACTAGGAAAAAGTGAAAAGAGAAAAGTGGAATGATCTGTGATATATTTTGGAGGTAAAATTGACAGGACTTAGTGATGGTTTGGTTGTAGGGGATGAGAAAGAGTGTGGAAGCGAGGATGACTTCTAGGTTTTTGAGCAACTTAAGGTGTAAAATTGTTATTCACTGAGATAGAGAAGACTAGGGAAGAACCAGTTTGGAGAAGACCTAAAATTCTAACTGAACATGTTACTATTGAGTAGTCTGCTAGACATCCAAGAATTGATGCCAAGGGGACAGACATATGAGACTGGAGCTCAGGGAGAAGTCTGGATTGAAGATATGCATCTGAGAATCTTTAGCATACAGATGATATCTGGAGCCAGGCAATCAGATGAAATCTCTTGGGAGGAAGTAGAAGTAGAGAAAAATAGTGCATTGAGTGAGCTGAGATCCTCCAAGAATTCAGGAGGGGAAGGAATGACAACCAGCAAAGGTGGTTGAAAAGATGCTACCCTAAGCGATGCCTAGGCTAGTGGTAGAGGAGTCAAAGGAGCAAGTGGGCACTTGCTTGGAAGCCCCCTAGGGCAACTGTTGTGTCTAGCATTTAATGTTGTGCTTGGCACATGGAAAGTAGTTATCATTAATTGAGTGAATAAGCTAATTTTTCTGAGGCTCTCCCATACATTCTGGCACATTTCTAGGTGTGGTAATAAGAAGTGAACATTTGTATTGGTTGGTTTGCAGTGGCCTGACATCAGAGAACTTTCCATTTGACTTTATGAATTTTTGGCCCATCTTTAATAGAATTTAGAGAATTTGCTAATGACTAGTCAAGCCATTCCTTAGATTTAAATTTGGAAACAATCAGAAATCACCAGCTTGCATTTTCCAAACCATTCAAGATGAAAATAGTTGGTAAAATAATAAATAAACAAGAAAACACACAAGTAAAATTGAGCTCATACAGAAAATCCAAACAACCCTCTTTGGGACCCTTGGAATTCCTTTCCTACTGCCAAAGAGAAAATTTTTTTACAAGTTCTGAGGGTAGGGGAGTGGTTATGAGCCATTCTTTAATCTCCTGTTACTTCCAGAAACAGGTGGCTAGATCAAAAATTCTTGTTAATCTTGGAATTTCACACTACTCTGCTTGATGATAATGATGCAGCCTAGTTGGAAGAAAAAAAACGTGTAGGACTGAGGCTTAAAAAGTTAAATAACTTGCCAATAGTCTCAAGGTATTTAAACCCAGTTCTAAAGAACTCCAAAGCCATGTCTCTTCTCCCACCATTTGCTGACCCCAAGAAGCTTAAGTGACATGGAGGTTAGCTGTCACTAGAAACCAAGTTTCTAACTTAGTGACATGGCTAAGATTTTCAACTTACTGGTTTTAAAAGTACACTTCATTACTTGAAAATAACAAACAAAATATTAACAATATGGAGAAAATTATAGGGGCATTTTAAGCTTTTCTGAATGTGTTTAACATGATGAATCTGTCTTCTTTTACAAGGAGAAATATAGAGGTGTGTTCCAGAGGTGACAGTTCATGGCACAGACAGTTAGAGCATGCTATTTGGCACTTACTTTTGTCATCATGTCGTTGCTGGTTAAAGCAAAAATAGGTAAGATATTTCTGTAATCTAATCTGTGGAAGGATTTGTTTAAATTCTCAATTACAGCTGCAATATGCATTTGTGGTAAATGTGTTGGTAGTTCATCTTTTTTAGTTAATCTCTTGTCATTTAAGTGAACAGGTCTGGTCTATGTATGCAATTAATATGTATTTTATCTAATTTATACTAATGATTAAAATAAGAGTTCAATGATATCATTTCCTCCTACAAAAATGGCTAGGTAGCCAAGCTCAGCATCATGAATGAATGTTTTACGTTATAATGCATTTTAATAGAGGGTATTAATGGATGAATTCAACTATTAAAAAAATAATGACAGGCATTTTCTTTGCTTTTTCTATTAGGAGCTTATTTTTGACTTTCTGGCCAGTTAGGATCAAAGATCAAAGAGGGAGAAAACAAACATAAGTAAGATAAGAGAAAGGACTTAGTTTTAGTTCTGAAAATAGAAGTGAGAATTTTTTATTCTAAATGAATTTTCAGTACTTCCTTTATTTGATTTAAATAACTTTTTAAAATCAATTTCTATTGATGGGAATTGATCCAAGCAATCTTACAATTACCCAAAAAAAGACTTTCAGTGAAGGGTTTATATCACACCTAAAAGTTCAGAGTTAATCTATAATTCTGAGGTTCTTTCATTGGCACTTATTAAGTACCATGAAAAAGTGATAATTCTGAATAGTTGTCCTATTTATTCATAGAAAAACTTGAGTGGTAAGAGGAGTTTTAAATGTGGTAACTGGTATATAGTAAATAATACGGAGAACTCTTTTTAAAAGAAGAATACATTCATATAATTTTGTATTAGCTGTATTGGGTAATGGTTCATCCAGCCCAGGGTATTACATCTTGAAGGAACATCATGATGGCATGGTAAGACCTAATTTCCATCCTGGTTGCCAACTGCAAACACACCAGAGCCCTTGAATATTTTCTGTGATAAAATAATGTAATAGATTACACCTACTTTGTAACATTAATATAGCAAAAGAGGGACCTATTCCCAAATCTGCCCCTACAGTTTGTAATAGCATTTTAAAATTGTCTTTTTTTTTTCTTTTTGGTATGAGTATTGAAGTAAGCATTATAAATTATAAATGGAGATGGAAACAAATGTGATTTATTCTGGGAAGTACTTCTTAGTAGTCTGGTGAATAATTTACATATAGAGAGATTGGCTTTTCCTGGAACTGAGTTCTTGAATGTTCTTTCAGCCCTATTTTCTCACCACTTTCCTATTTATAGTTCTGATTATAGTATTAGTGTTTTGAGAAGAATGCATGTTTTAATTTAGTTAGACTTTAATATAGTTGCCTTCTGTTCTCAATGTGCATCACCAATACAGCGAGGGAAGCAGAAGTTATTTGTATTTCCACTATTTGATGGGGCTAATTTTACTCTGCTTTTGGGACTTTCACAAACCCTGCATTTTGGAATGGGTTTCTTACATGCCAACTGAGTACTCACTTGTGTCTTCCTGCAGACGTGTGCAGGAGAGGCGATGTGACTGTGAAGCCCTCCCACGTGATTTCTCTTGGATCAGCTGTCAGTATCTCCTGCTCTTTGAAGACCAAACAAGGCTGCCCTCGGTATTCCAGTTTTAACAAGCTAATCCTCTACAAATTCTACCAAAGGATCCTGTTACAGCGTGGCCACTTCCTCAGTTTCCAAGTCTCAGATCTTCCTCTGGGGACAACAGTGTTTGTCTGCAAACTGAGCTGTAGCACTGGTGAGGAGATTCGAATATGTGGGGCAGAGATCTCAGTTGGCGGTGAGCATTCCATTCTGAATTCCTAAAAGTTGGAATCTTTTGGTATTTGTTGAGCGTTAAGCAGAAATCCTAATAATATAGGACAGTATTCTTTCTTCTCCCACCACTTGGGTATGTTTTATCTTGAAAGCAACATGAGCACCCAGTGTGAGAAGTCCAGAAAGCAGTACAATTGGGGTCTCGTTTGGTCTCTTTTCTCTCATTTCTCTCTGTCTCTCCCCCTTTCTCTCTCCAGCACCCCCTTCTCCCTCCCCCTTTCACCATTAACATCATTTACCTGTTGTCCTTGAACTCCAATGGCAGGAAAATGGATCTCTGCAGGTGAGTCTTCATGACTTCTTAAGAGAATTTTTTCAAAGCTACAACCTCCTAAGAAAGAAGAAAGAGATATCTTTTTTGACTTAGGCAACCCAGGCTGACTACCAAATGCTGAGCACTTCTCCCCTCTCTAACTTAACACACAAAAAATAGTTCTTCCACGTTGGGGTCTGCCCTGCCTGGTCTCAGGAAGCTGTAACCCCCTGTGGCTAAGGCTGAGTGAGAGACCTCCAGACCAGGAGACACTAAGGAGACAAGCTTATCTCCCTGGCAGGAGCGCTGCCTGCTCCTTGCCTGGCCTCCAATGCTTGATCAGTTAGCCAATGACGGGTAAGATTTCCCAAGGGGGGAATCATCTAAGATAGGCATGATCATGTGGAGGCCCCAGGAAAGGGGCTCAGGGGGCTGTGGAAATGAAAGGGTGATCGGCATCGACCCCTGCCCCCTCGGCTTTGACAAAGCCTGAGTCCTTGTTCTGGCTGTAAGAAATCCAAGTCTCCTGGCTGCCTTTGTCTCCTCTGCCCAACTCAGGCCTGTGGAAATAGCAGGGGTCTGTGGAAATAAGAGAGGCGGTGCAGTCCAGACCAGAGTCAGCGGACCCCTGGGGTAATTAGACCTGGGGCATAGGATATGCAAGATCCTGTGAGACCTGCTTGCTGAGGATGCTCTTGAATATGAAGGCACAGGCAGGAAAGGAAACTAGCCCTGCAGCTTTTTAAGTGGCCCCCAATGCTAAAACCCCAAACTCAGCGTGAGCCTTTTTAGCTCTTTGAAAGATACCTACTCATTTGATCTTCCCTGCCAGACTATAATCCACAAACTGTGTCCGTACCCCTACCCAATACTGCCTAATAAAAAGCCTACTCAGGCAGCGGCTCAGGAACTCTCCACTAGAGAGAGTGGCCATGCCGTTCCTATTCTTCCACAGGACTCGGTAGTCTGTGTATTTCTCTTGTATCATGAGCAGCTGCAGCTTTTGAGGTCACTGAAGGCCAGTGGCTGCCTCACTTCTATCCAGTCACTCCTGACCATACTTAACAAAGATTAAAAGAAAACTATTGTTATACTTACTATCTTTTCCTGGGTTTTCTAGAAAACTGTCCGGGGGGCAAAACTGACCTGTTAGCACTCCCTGGGGGTAAGAGAGTTGTTCAGTTTCAGGGAAACAAGTGTGAGCCAGGAAAGTAGCAAAGCACAAGGTGGTTAAGTTTCTGAGCTGGTCACAGAGTCAACCAAAAACACAGCTGCTTTCTTGGTCACTGGGGACATCTCCAGAAAGAACATATGGAAATGCAATGACAGGGGAAAGAGAGAACCTGTCTGCCGTTGGTCAAAGTCACCAGCTCCCCCATACTGCTGCTTACACTGCTGGTCCCTCTAGGCAGCTGCTGGGAGTAAGAACTAAGATGTCAGAGCGGGCAACTGCAGCATGAGCCACAACCCACAGAGTAAGCTAACAGAACACCTGCCTGCAGCTGCAGCCCTAAAAGCCCAGCCAGGCAAACCAGGGAGCATGCATGGGCCCTGAGAGATGCCATGGTACTTTGTGCCTCTGTGCTTCCAGGGAAGCTCCCGAGTAGCAGATGCGAGGCATGTAGGTTGGAATTGCTCCAACAAGCTGACCAAGATGCAAAGACAGGATCCCTCATGAAAAGTGATATAGAGCTCAATAAGGCTCTTTCCAGGAAAGATGGAAACCTCTTCTCTGTGACCTATAAGGATATGGTTGGTGCCAGGTGACATTCCTGGAGGGTCATCAGAAGCATTGAGCAGAACAGCAAACAATGGCCAAGCAAGTCACTGGGGGTAAAGAGACATAAACTAGGTGTAGTACTCCTCTTTCAGCTCAGTCTCCTGTTCATACCACTTACAGGTCATGCACTTTGAGCTCCAACAGCCTGTGGTGTTACAGGAGGAGCATAAGCTTTGAATTATAACACTGCAACTAGCAATGTATTCTTAAACAGTTTCAATTCTCTAAACCTCATTTTCTCCATCTTTGTTATGAGGATACTAGCATCTACTTCATAAGATGGTTGCAGTGATTAGATGTCACTTTGCATGCACAGTGCTTAATAACCTAGCACCAGGCACATAGGAGGTATGTAGGTCATAAGCGCTAAGACTGCACTTCTGTGCAGTTTTACTCTCTTCTTCACATGTTCAGTGTGTTTGGTAGCTGAACATGCTTCCCTTAAAAGAAAATATGAGCATTAGTTATAGACAAAATGAAATATTTTATAAAAAACGTCAATGTTCTTCACCTCCCTTGACCTCAGAATACCTGACTATTTCACCCAGGTAATTTGCCAGACCAACGTCACATATTTGCATTAGACATTCCCAGCCCTGTGATGTCAGCTCCAGCTGTCCACAGGCCTCCGGTGTTTTGGTTTTCAGTAGGCTAACAATAGCCTTGGAAGTCAGTATCCTTGCAGATGTCTTTAGCCATTCTGTTTCATTTCAGATAGAGTGTTGCAAACTCCTTTCCATTTTTTTTTTACTTTTCCATCCAGAGTATGCAGGTGCATTTGTGACATTTTGCAGCTTCAGAAGATCTAGGGAGATGGTAAGGAGTGTCCATCATGGTGCCGCTCAGCTGGGTGCAGCTGCTTGCCTGAACGTTGCTTGTGCAACGTGCACAAGTTGTAACCGCACCATGAAATGGCTGCCTTTTGAACAAGTTTAGCACCTTTGAGGGGAAGGACTGAGTGGAACCAACACCTTTTTCTGAATATGGCTAGTCATTCCAAGAAAAGACACAATGTTGGTTTCACCCAGTATAGTAAGCTTAATCCTATCTAGCGAGAGAGTAAGCTGCCCATTTTCTTTTTTGTGATAAGTGGCAGTCCATTGGATATCCTGAGAGGTCCTGTGTATGTCACTGGTTCTTTAGAATGGGAATGGGTAAATAGCCTTTAACCTTTTCTTCCCTGCCCCTTTATGGGCTCGTGCTGCTCAGCTACTCAGAGCTCATCCTAATTGTGTAGTAACTAAGCAATTAATGCTTTAGTTTAACCTCATAGGATTGATCCTCAAACTAGATATTCAAGGCAAAAAATGAAAGAAAATGGATTTTTTGTTTGGTTGTTTTCAATATATGTTTTGCCATTGACTGTTTCTGAAAGCTGTTTTTCTGAGACTTTTCATTGCCCATAATAAATGAAAAGTTTTAAAAACATAACTGTCATAAGGCTCATACCAATTTATTATATTAAAAGCTATTTTAATTTTTAGAGGTTTTGATTTCTGTCCTTTTTTTGGAATCAGCTATTATGCATTTGTATTGAGGAGAATTAGGTCTGGTTTCCCCTGGGACAGATAGTATCTCCCAAAACCTAGTCCTGGAATGAAGTAGACAACTTGATTTCCTGGTCCAGGGAACTCACATTGAGAAAGATGACCTGTGGGTTAAAGCTGGGGTCTTTAAAGATCAGAATCTCTGCAACATTTAAGAGTAAAGGTGAGCACGAGGACTTTTTCATTATGTAAGAGTGTCAGGCATTTTATATCTCATTTGGTTATCAAAAGACCCCATGAAGAGTTAGGATAAAAAATGGAGGTTTAAACATATTTATTCTCATTCCCCCTGAAATAAGTCCAGGATGGAATAAAGAAAGTTTTCTAGAGGCACAAGCCCTAGGAGAAAAAAATGGGAGGGAAGATACACTGACCACATTTTGGAAAGCAGAACAGTGACAACTGGCTTAGCCTATAGCTGGCCGTGGGAAAAATCAAGATGCAACTAATTTCATGCAGAAGCTCCTGCCTCAGAAAGACTCAGAAACTGATGACACCATATACTTCTGGGAGTGAGAGTAAAAGTGAAGCTAAAAATGAGAAAGTTGATTGAAAATGTATTTAAATATAAAGCAGATTTTAGATTCACTTCCCAATCCTATGTAGCCAGACAGTCCCTGCTCCACTACATTGGTGTAAGACTGGAGGCTTGGTATCGAGGATCACTGAACTAGTTTCAGCCAGTTTGGTCTACGGCCATACATACCTCCCTGAATTCACCCGATCTTGTCTGATCTTGGAAGCTAAGCAGGGTCGGGCCTGGTTAGTACTTGGATGGGAGGTTTCTAATATTTGAGTGGGCTTTATTCTGAAAAGGTAAACTCATCATCACCAGGGTAATGGAGCTAGCTAGCACTGGGTATTCACCTGCTCAGGAGAATAATAGAATGAGGTGGAAAAAGGCTTGGACTCAAGTCAGCCCACCTAGGCTTGAGCCCTGCTTCTGCCACTTCATAGTTTTGCAATGTTTGGCGAGATATTTAACCTCTAAGGCTTAGTTTCCTCTTCAATAAAGTGAGGATAATAATAGTATGTACATAATGTAGCTGCTATGGTGTGTAATTGAGAAAAACCACACATAAACCATTTAACATAGGATTTGGCATATCGTAAATATTTGGTCTATAGCCACTGTGACTGCTGTTGTTAGTAGAAGAAATTCATGCCTCACAGGCAAGTTTGAACTTGATGGGACCTAAAATAAATATCAGCTTGTCTGGGAATGGGGCATATAGAGAAAGTATTGTTACCTTGTTGAGAAAATAATAATAATATGATTGAAATATCACTTGTGTGGCATTTAAAATATGTGATTTTACTCTTTATTTTGAAGTTGTTCCAGAGCAGCCTCAAAACTTATCTTGTACACAGAAGGGAGAACGTGGGACAGTGGCTTGCACCTGGGACAGAGGACGAGACACCCACCTATTTACTGCATACACTTTACAGTGAGTGAGAGACTGGGTTTGTAGCTTTTTTGTGGGTCTTCTGTAAGATGACATTTAGAAATATCTAATAGTTGTCGTTTTATCAGTGAGAAAAAGCAATAGACAACTCTAGATAACTAATAATTAGATGCTTTTAAAAAATTCTAGTTTTCACTAATTAAAACTGGTTCATTCATTTAAAGGGTGAGAACTGACATCTTGGGTCTGAGGTCTAACTCAATAGTGGTCTTCGAGGCATCAAAGGCCCATGTTATAGATGTTCTTCCCTCCTCTAGTAGGGCTAATCTGGCTCTGTCATATCTCTTTCCTTTTTTGCAGATGCAGACTCTTGTGGTCATGATATATAAAACACACTCTTCCTTGTGGGAGCTTTCCATTAGTCTGGGAGGCATTTCTTTTCAATCCACTTTTGCTTGACCTAGGAGTCCACAAAGAGAGAGAGTCTGGGAGATTCTGTTCCTTGCAATTAATTCCATAATCTCATCCGAAGATCCAGCTGGGTTGCACTTACCTAAGTGAGCAGCAGATGGGGGAAAGGAAGTGGGGCCCAGGGTTCTGCTCTGTGCTGGAAACTGGCACTTCCGTGCGGTAAATGTTGTATCAAAGTGGCCATGGACCCTTTGGACATGACCTAAGGAGCCAAGATGTCTGGCAGGATATCAGGCAGTGTAGGTTTGGATATTTACCTATAGAACATCAAAAAAGTCTCAGTCCTACCAAAAAAAGAAAAAGGGATGAGGGGAGTATGGTCCTATTTATGACCACAGAATACAAATATTTTTATTGTGAACCTTCTAGTAATAAGGCTGACCTTAAAAGTATGTCTAGAATTTTAAGCATTTGAAAATTTTGTTATTTTATACTAAAAGGAGAAAAAGCACATAAAGTACCTTGATAAACACAATTGCCTTTTATTTACAGGTTAAATGGACCAAAAAATTTAACTTGGCAGAAGCAGTGTAATGATAATTGTGACCATTTGGACCTTGGAATCAACCTAATCCCTGAATCATCTGAATTCAGTTACACAGCCAAGGTTATTGCTGTCAATAGTCTTGGAAGTGCTTCTTCATTCCCAGCCACATTCACATTCTTGGATATAGGTACATTTTATTTCACTTTGGCACGTGAACGTTATTTTAAACATCACTCAATTGTTCTATATGTAATTGTTTCAAAAAAGACAGTGGCTGGTGGAAAGTGACCACCTGGCACTGGTAGATGCAAGTAAAAGTGTGCATGATCCTAGAACTACATAGAGATGGTTGTATAAAATGAGATACTCAACATTTTTCTCTATATTGGCAAATAGGAGCTCCCAGCTTCAAATCCCATGAAAGCACCAGCTGCCAGTAATATCATCTGACTGAGAGAAGGAGGGTCCTGTGAAGTTATTCAAAGAAGCTCAGTGTAGTTCTTCATAGCAGAGGTGACTTTTTACCCCCGTAGCTGCTCCACTGTTTAGGCACTTGGCCTAAAGCAGCCGGTGAAAACTATAAATAAAATGTATCAAGGTTTATATGCAGCTTGCTCTGAGAATACTTACCTCCACTCCTTTCAGCTTAGTTGCCAGAATGAGCCAGTCCCAGCACATTTCTGAGCAAATATTATTGGCCCAGTTGAGTCAAAAGACCAATTCTCTAGGCCTTCCCAAACTCTATCCATCCCAGGTAGTACTGGGTGTCCAGCCTGCCTGAAGTTCCAGCCTCACCCTCTGTGTTTCTCTTCTCTCTTTCCACAGCACCTCTTTGCATACATACGTCTGCAAACCACACGTCTGCACATAGGCATTTTATTGTGCGTTTTCTTATCACACTTCTCCCATCCTACCTTCCATCTCTTTACATAGACATCTGTAAGCCACCTTCTACCCCCTAATTCTTTTCTTCTGTTCCCCTTCTCCTATGTCCCCTTCCTGTGACTTTTCTACCAACATTTCTTCTCCTCCTGGGGTGATCATCACGAGCCACTTTTGCCTTCTCCGCCATTGGAACTCTCAGGTTTGGCATATCAGGTGTTTTATTTTTTTCCTTAATTATTGGATTAAATGGAATCAACACTATTACTAATGTTGGTGGTAGTTTATCTGATAAAAATGAGGGGAATTATTTTAATAATTTAGAAACAAATCCAACTTCTTCTTTTTTGGAAAAGCCAGGGAATTCTCCCCTGTTTATGCCACCAAATTTAGGGGTCATGATCCTAAAGATGAATTTTTGTTCAACTCTTTATAGCTCATGTCAATGTATAAGACAATTTCTGATTGTGGAACCTGAATAACACTTTTTTGTTTGTCCTGGTTACCAGTGAGGCCTCTTCCTCCGTGGGACATCCGAATCAAATTTGTAAATGCTTCTGTGAGCAGATGCACTCTTTGGTGGAGAGATGAGGGGATGGTGCTGCTTAATCGACTCAGATATCGGCCCAATAACAACAGATCCTGGAAAATGGTAATGGCCTTTCGAGTGAAGGGGAGAAACAGAGAGGGCTTCTTAGAGTTGCTGCACAGACCTCTGTCTTTTCAGACCAGCAAAATAGGTAATTTAAGAATAATGCCCAAAAGTATATACTTGAGATACACCAGAAAGTCACATGCACCTCCATTTATTAAGAGATATCTTGAATTCTGATCACTGATTTTGAAATTTTTTTAAGTTGTAAGCTTCTGTAAACCAGTATTAATTTTCTGTATTTTATTTCTAGTAAAGGGCTCATTTCTCCTTGTTTTTCTATCCCGTGTCCCATATTATATTTTGGTAATTTTTTTTAACATACTGGAAAGGGAAATGTTAGGGAATGTCCATAGAAGCTTACACGGAATTTAATATTTCAAAGATAAGCACTTAACACTTTGATTGTTAGGCATTAATTTTTTTACAATAAAAAGTATAGGATTATAATTCCTTCCAGTATTTTTGTAAAATATAATGTCTTACAATGACAAAGGATCAGTTAGTTTCACATATAGCTGATGTTCAAGAGAGGTATAGTAATTAAATTTTTCTTATCAAATTATTCTTTTATAATTAAAGTGTTCCATTTGAACCCAGTTCTATGTCTGTATAAGTGTCAAAATATGTATCACATTCTAATTGTGACCAAATAAAAAATAATCTCTAATGTAGAAAATTCTCCAAGGCCCTTTTCAAAATTGGTAGTTTTCAACCTTCACTCCCTTTTCAGCTAGTTTTAGGATCCCCCTTGGAACTCATATAGGTAGGTTTTTAATCTCGGGAGTATTGTTTTTTGAGACACTATTATTTCAGATTAACATCATGTATATGCAATAACCCAGCCAGTGATATTTCTTTTCATTAAATGACAGATCTGAAAAAATAAAAATGGTTATCTGGTCTATTTTATTTACCTTTACGTTAAAATTCTTTAAATTAATATAGTATTAATATTCATCTTTAAAAATCCTGTCTGCTTGAAGGTTAATGCTACAAATGCCAAAGGAAGACATGATTTGTTGGATCTGGAACCATTTACAGAATATGAATTTCAGGTTTCCTCTAAGCTGCATCTTTATAAAGGTAGTTGGAGTGACTGGAGTGAATCATTGAGAGTTCAAACACCAGAAGAAGGTATGTGTCAAGAAAAAAAAAAAAAGAAAGAAAGAAAGCAGGATTGGTGGGGAAGGGGAAGAAAGGAAAGAAAGAGGAAGATGCACTGATTTTCTTGGAATGGAATCTCTAAAATACTGATACTGAATCAAAAAGTATGATCATCTTAATTAATAATTTTCACATTAATTTAAATTCTGAAACTGTCCAGAGAAATATGTTTATATTACTAGGAAATTTTTAACATTAGGTAAGTCCTACTCCTGTTTGCCACATATTTTCATGTTGGTTACAAGCTTAAGCCTCAGTAATGTTTGGTTGTAACTCTTATTTCTATTATACTTACTATTTCTATTTCACTTACCATCTCAGTAACTTTCTCATGCCACAAAGCTAAAGCAGTAATTAATTTCACTCTTTCATAGTTAAATCTTATTATATTTTACCTTTCATATTCTATGAAAATTAATTTGGCTTTATAAGCCACTAAAGGCTTGAAAGAAGGAAGACTCTGGAGACATAACATTTTAAAGTAAAATTTAACATCCAGCCATCTTTCTCCTCCAAATACTGCAGCGTTGCATTTCTCAGGGCTTTGACTCATAGCTCAGATGAGTGCCAACAGACTGCCCATAGCTTTGGAAAGGATTTCAAATATCTTTTTCAGTCTATGGACTTTTCTTTTTTGTAATTATGGGAAGATAATTTTACTGAAGTATAGTTAAATATTTTATTAAAGCAAAAATGCTTATATGAACATTATGCCAGTATTAACAAATCTTTGGAGACACAAGATATAACCATCTGAATATAGTATTCAAAAGCTCTCATTTACTGATATAGCATGCAACTTTTATAATTTGCATAAATTTGGCTCAGAGGAAAAGTTATTAGCATATAATCCATTGCTTTATTATCTGGAGATTTATATATATATATATATATATATATATATATATATATATATGCTTATTTGTGAAACTCATGGATGTGTGTGCATATGAACTAGCCTTATGATTAAGTTACATTTATTTTCTAATGTAATAATTACATTACATTGAGCTAATAATTACTTTTGGTAATTGATGACACTTATCAATAATGCCTCAATGATGTCCAAGCACCTAAAGGACCTATTAATAAACTATAATTTCTGATATACAAATTGTAGGATAATTGTATATTCCTCCCTTTTCCTTGTATGAAATACATTTCTCTATTTTAAAAAATGTTTAGGCCCCAGCTGGCATAGCTCAGTGGATTGAGTGGGGGCTGCGAACCAAAGTGTCGCAGGTTCGATTCCCAGTCAGGGTACACGCCTGGGCTGCAGGCCATGACCCCCAGCAACCACACATTGATGTTTCTCTCTCTCTATCTCCCTCCCTTCCCTCTCTAAAAATAAATAAATAAAATCTTAAAAAAATAAAAAAGCGTAGCCATCTGATAAGGTTGAGGATATTTTAAAAAATGTTTAAAAAGAAATTCATCCAACAAGTTACAATTTATTTTCTCTCATTTCATTATAAAACATCTCTTCATGTTGAGCCACTTACTCTCTGCTTACATGATTACCATTTTTGTAATCCAGAGCTTACTCTTATTATCCTTTTATTACACATAGTCAAAGTAATGCATTTTTAAAAGGTACTTCATGGATTGAATTTTATTTATACATAATGCAGACAAAATTTTTTAAAATGGGCCATATTTTATGTTTAAGTTCAAAGTAGTAAATAGGCTGAGAAGTGCTTGTTATATCACATTAGGGCTAAACTATAAACAAGCAAAACACTGGGCTTGCGAATTCTTGACAATGGCCTCTTTGGAGATGTGTGTAAAAGGTTTGCTTTTCTAAGCCTTTATCCATTGAATCAAAAACCCTTCAAAGTACGACAGTAATTTTCTCATATTCTGTAAAATAACCACCATCATAACAACAGCTACACTTACTGTTATGGTTAAGAACTCGTGGATGGTTGTGAATTTGAACCAAGGAAGCGTGTTTATTCAGGCTAATTCAGGCATTCATAAAGAAGGAAACCCATACTCTGAGTGTACCCTGGTTACCAAGCTCTGTTGGCTTCCTTTCAGTGTCTGAATCTCCCTTTTCAGTGTTTGATCTTTCTGTGGGTTGTTGTAGGTTTTCTTTTCTCTTGCTCTGAGCTGCTGCATGGTTTTTGCTTCTTACCACTATTTCTGTCATCAGTTTCTTTATGAAACGCCAACTGATGTAAACCTAAAAGGTGTGAACTTTTTTTAACACTCCTTCCTTTAAATCCTTTTAATATGTACTCATATGTAACTTGGCATTTAAAAAAATTACTAGTAAGCTTTTTTTTTTTAGTTACTCAAAGTTAATGATCCTTTGCTAACAAAACTGAGAGCATTATGCTGTGTACTGGTGAGTTGGGGATAGTTATTTATATCATGTTGGTGAAAATGAGGCCACTATTTACTCCATATGGCCTTTTCCTATGTCATTAATTTTAACTCCATTTATGGTCCTCCATGAAAAACACCTTTTAAATGACCAGTAAGTATGGGGTAGGAGGAAAGAACATCAGGAAACAGTCCCACAATCAGTTTCCATCAGAGGCAGACTTCATACTGGGAATTGAGCAACCATATTTTGCTTTTAGTGGGAAAACACTCTTGAGTTTGGGTTTCCTGATGTTCAGACATGCTTGAGAATGTCCTCAGGTGCTAAGACCACTTAGAACACCCAGGTGGAGACTCCAAAATAAAGATGAATGAGCCATTCTTCAGAACTATATTGTCAATTTGGTGTTTGTCTGTTTATTCACCATTTTTAAAAGTCTTATTTTCAAGTTTTGGTCTTGCTAAAACTCTACTGTGGACACTTACTAAAGGAAGCGTTACGTTCTTATGCTTGTGCCATAGAGGAGGTAAAGGAGGAGCCTTTTCTCATCATGGGGATGACATGGGTGTTTAGTGGGAGGTCCACAAAGAAGCAGGAAATGCTGGGTTACCAGCTACAGCCACCCCTCACATTAATTCATTTTTAACTTTAAAATAGTCTAAAATTGATTAGGTAAGAACAATTCAATACTAGAGGTTATTTTACCATCTTGGTTAGCAAGCATTTCATAACAATCTAGCTTAGAGATCAGCAAACATTTTCTGTAAAGCTCCAGATAGTAAATATTTTTGGTTCTTGGACCATATAATCTGTCTCAACTACTAAAATTTGCTATTATAGTGTGCAAGCAGCCACTGACGATATATAAATACCTAGCCAAAGCTGTGTTTCAATAAAATTTTATTTATGAACACTGAAATTTGAATTTTATATAATTTTCACATGTCACTAAAAATGATTCTCCTTCTGATTTTTTTTACAACCATTTAAAAATGTAAAAACCATTATTACTGCCCCGGCTGGTGTGGCTCAGTGGATTGAATGCCAACCTGGAACCTGAAAGGTCGCTGGTTCAGTTCCCAGTCAGGGCCCATGCCTGGGTTGCAGGCCAGGTCTCCAGTTGGGGGAGTGCAAGAGGGAACAGATCAATGTATCTCTCATACATCAGTGTGACTCTCCCTGTCTTTCTCCCTTCTTCTCTCTCTAAAAATAAATAAATAAAAGTGTCTTTATTAAAAAAATTAAAATATGGAAACTATTATTATTAGTTCACAGGCTATACAAAAACAGGGAATGTGCCAGATTTGATCAATGAGCTATAGTTCACTGACTACTAAACTAGCTAAACTTGCAAGTATCATACTTATGTCTCTTTGCTTGTGGCTTGAGGAAATGAGAATGAATACCTCTTTACCCTTCTAAAGAGACTTACATGCAAACATTTTCATTACAAAGATGTTATCTTTCATATCCAATGTCAGTCCCTACCCTCTTTCTCCTTTTAGTCTCCTTTAAACCCAACATGTACCCCTAAAGAAGTAAATGCCTAAGCTTAATTATTTGACAAGATGGTGATCACCCCAATAGGAAGAAATGTTTTTCATGAAGCCCCCTCCAAACCAAAACCAGTGGGAAAAAAATATGCCTCTCTCAATGGTCTGTGGGGAATGTGTGTGAATCAGGAACTATGCCAGGTGCTGAGACACAGTGTTAACTAGTCAGATCCTCGGAGTCAGGGGTGTGTACTGGAACATCAGGAAAAGATTCCTGGAGGAGGGGAACCAAGAAGAAATGTGAAACCCAAACAGAATCTTATAGCTTTCCTCCATCTGGAACAGATGGCCTCCAAGGTGATTGTAGTAGGGGAAGAGAGCTATTTCCTCCTTGAAGTACTTGATTCTCTTGAATTCTTTGAAATCTCACATTCCTGAGTGGTTTTTTTCTTTTACTTATTCCACATTTACCCTGTTCTACCTCCCCTCACCTCAATTTGCCTCTGGTAATTACCATACTGTTGTCTATGAATTTTTTGTCTGTCTTTTTTTTTGTCTTAATCCCTTCACTTTTTTCACCCAGTTCCTTAACCCCACTCCCCTCTTAACAGCTTTCAGTCTGTTCTCTGTATCTATGAGTCTGTTTCTACTTTGTTTATTTGTTTATTTTGCTCATTAGATTCCACATATAAGTAAAATCATATGATACTTGTCTTTCTCTGATTGGCTTGTTTCACTTAATATAATACTTTCCAGGTCCATCCATGCTATTGCAAACAGTAAGATTTCCTTTTTTTTTTTTTTCCCCCCACAGTCAAGTAGTATTTCATTGTGTAAATGTATTCAGGCCCTTTGCCCATTTTTTATTGGATTTTTGTTGTTGAGTTTTATAAGTTCTTTACAATTTTTTTATATTAACCCCTTATCAGATGTATCATTGACAAATATTCAGTGGGTTGTCTTTTCATTTTGTTAATGGTTTCCTTTTCTGTGAAAATGCTTTTTAGTTTGATATAGTCCCATTTGTTTATTTTTTCTTTAGTTTCCCTTGCCTAAGAAGATATAATAAAAAAATTGCTGTAAGAAATGTCTGAGATCTTACTGCTGATGTTTTTCTCTAGGATTTTTATGTTTTCAAGTTTCACATT